CATTTAAGAGTTTTCATAACAACATAATAATGTGCCAATTTAGGTTGATTTAAATAGTGTTATGGGTATAATTGAGAGTTGTTATAATAACATAATAATATGCCAATTTATGTTGATTTAAATAGTGTTATGGGTATAATTGAGGGTTGTTAATATAGCATGAAAAGGGGAGTTTAAGGGCTATTATAATATCGTTTTTATACTTGAATATAGGTTGTTATGGCAATAAAAAAAAATACTTATAATTGAGGGTTGTTATAAAACCCTAAAAGTGTGAAATTGTGGGCTATTATAGCATCCTTAAAGATATATATTTGTTGAATATTAAGACAGTTGTGAATGCATGTTGATAGATTGATGACAAAAAATTATGTGTGGGATATTGCTGATGTTTGTCAAAAGTTTTAGGGAAAGGGATAGTCAAAGGTGTGTTTGTGTTTTGAGGTATGAACAACCAAATATACTCATGTTATTGTTGCATAATGGGTTAGTTGTGTATATATTTGTAATTGCTTAAATGGGTTAAAATTGTTAAATACTTACTGTAACTTATGTACTTGTATGTTTAGGCAAATTAGTTGCAAAATGAATGAATGAATGTGTGTGTGTGGCCAAATAAAATGTTGATTTGTTATTATTTGAGCTTTATGGGAGAAATGTCTAAAGTGAGATCTATTTTCTCAGGAGCACACATAATAAAAGCTCCATATAAGGGTTTGCCCCTTACCTTTTTTATTATCCAAATTATTTTTGTAAATGTTAGAATACGAGGTGTCATATTTATGAAATATATGTTCGAGGCAGATAAATGATATCTTATGAAATATATGTTCAGGATAGAAAAATAATATCATCTAAAATATATCTTCGGGGTGAGAATATGATATCAGTGAAATACACCTTTAAAGTAGGGAAATGATATGAAAAGAAATAGCCCTTCACGACAAGGATTATTAGATAATTGACATAGTCGAATCCCAGGGAAGAAATTGAGATATGAAAAGTTGGTTGTATTGTTAGGGGCTAAAGCATGTGTCTAATACAAATTATTTTGTGAAAATGGATTAATAGGTACAAATATTAATAGAGGATTGACATGGAATAAATCCATAAACTTACAAGAACAGTGAAAGAAAAAAAAGGAAAGATGAATATAACTGATGTGGAATATATAGACATGGAAGATGATATATGAATGTTGTATTGACCTTCAAATAAATATTTAAGGAAACTTAATAAGTGTAAAAAAAGAAAAGGTGATCTGATATAAATGAATCACCATGTATGGATACAGTGAATAAGTGTGAATACCATAATGTGGTTATATATGTGTATTTGTGTGTATATGTTGTGTGTGTGTGTGATTATTGGATATCCTTAAAATGAATGTACAATTGTGTTAATTACCTTTATTTAAATATCAAAGTTGAATTATAGCTTTGAGTATTAATGCATTTTATATTTTACATTTTATGTGTGTCATACAAGTTTAAGTACCGAAGTTGAATTACAGTGTTGAATATTAATGCATTTTATATTTTACATTTTGTGTGTGTCACACAAGTACTTCTTTCTAGCCACATCAATCTTGACAACTCACATCATATCTTTCTAATATATCATTATTTAGGTAGAACTCTAAAAAAAATTATAATATGTAAATTCTGGTTATATGTATTTTAATTGTATGATGCTTTTGCTATATGGTTTCTTCTTTTTCTTCTTCTTTTTTCTTTCTCTTATATATGTATCTAACCACCTATTTATAATAACCTAATATATTCCTCTCATACCTAAATTTTAAACTTTTCCACATCCTACCATAGTTTTCTAGTATTTTTCAAAACTTGCTGATATTTTCTAGAAGATTCATTTATTTTTTAACAATATCATATTCTTTCTCCTGTTCTTTTTCAATTGAATTTTTTTCCCTTGAATCAGACCTTATTGCTTTTTTCAATTATATTTTAATTAGTAAAACTTTTTTGTTCTTAATTGATTTTTTTTTTCAAAAAATTTGAAAATATAAAAATAAGAAGAAAAATAATAAAAAATGACGATATGAGTAGAGACTAGCCAAATCACATTGAAAACATATTTTTTTAGAATTTTGGTATTTGTTGTATTTTTTAATTTTTTTGAAATTATATTTAAAATAGGGATAAAAATGAGCACAGGGTGATTTTTGTGTGAGATTGTTAGTGTGTGCTTTTCTTTGGGTTTGGTGACTTTTTTTTTGAATGTTTGGTAGAATCGAACTAATTGTATGAAGCTTTTTTCATGTGGTCTCTTTTTTTATCTTTCTCATCTAACTACCTATTTATAATAACACAATATATTCCTTTAACACCTAAATTCTAAACTCTTCCACACCTTTGCTTAGTTTTTGAAAAACTTTTAGTGTTTTCTAAAAGTTTCCTCTATTTTTTAACATCATGTTCCCTCTCCTTTTCTTTTTCAATTCAATTTCTTTTTTAAACTAGACTTTATTATTTTTTTTCAATTATATTTTACTCACTAAAATTTTTTTCTTCTTGATTGATTTATTTTTTTCTATTGATTTTGAAAATGACCAGAGATCAGCCAAATCATTTTGAAAACATATTTTTTTTTTTAAGAATTTGGTATTATTTGTATTATTTGTAGTTTTTTGAAATTATATTTAAAACAAGGATAAAAACAAGTGTAGGGGTAATTTTAGCATGGGATTTTTGTTGTGTGTTTTTCTCTTGATTTGGTGATTTTTTTAGAATGTTTGATATAGTCAAACTAATTGTATGATTTTTTTTTTCGTGGTGTCTTTTTTGTTCTCCCCCCTAACCATCTATTTATAATAACCCAATATTCCTACCACACCTAAATTCTAAACTCTTCCACAATCCACACTCTTCCATATTTTTTCAACATTTTTCAAAAACTTCTAGTTTTTTCTCAAAGTTTCCTCTATTTTTTAACAACATCGTGTTCCTTTTTCTTTTATTTTTCAATTCAATTTTTTTTTTATAAAGTAGACCCTATTTTTTTCTTATAAAGTAGACCCTATTTTTTTCAATTATATTTTAATCATTAAAACTTTTTTCTTCTTGTTTGATTAACTTTTTTTTCTTTTTTTTGAAAAAATTGAAAATACAAAAGTAATAAGTGAAATGATCAAAAACTATAAAATAATCAAAGAAATCATATCAAAATTTATTCTTTTTAAATTTTGATATTTGTTGTATTTTTTAGTTTTTTTAAATATATTAAAAATAGGAATAAAACGAATAATGATGTAAGGCATATCAAAACATAACATTCATATATTCGTGTATTACATATAAACACACAAATTCTTATTTAAGATTTCATAGTACATCCTTTATTATATTTCTATTTTTATGTGCTCTTGACAATTATATACAATTTCTGTATTTCCATGTGCTCTTGACAATTATATACAATTTCTTTTCTCTCATAATTTTCACTTGCCACAAAAGGTTTTAATTTTTAACATATGTTTTATTAACTGGTCATTTAAAATACTTTTAAAGAAATAAATTATTAAGCTCTTCTTTTTACATTGATGTTATATAACACCAAAAATGACAAAATTTAAATCATTCATTAAAACAAATTTCATGAGCAATTCTTCCAAAATTTAATAATTTTTAACAAAATTATTATTAAAAAATTGAACTTATAATTGGGGTTTTGTTTCACAAACAAATATTACTAGATTGTAAACCTAAGGAGAAGAAAGAAAAGGTTTGGAAATGAGGAATATAGAGTATATTCCTCCACAAATTTAAAAGTTTAGTATCCTATAAAAAAAAATAACTCTTATCCATTAATTTTAAATAATAATTACCATGTTGGTTCCCCCGACCATTATTGTCCTGCATAAATGTTTTTGGGCACCCATTAGGTTTACCCTTTGAAAAAACTAGAGAAAACTACTTGGTACAAATTAACATACCCTCCCAACTACTTCTTACTTCCTAATATTCAATTTCATAAAATGAAATAAACAATGGAAAATAAAAAGAATTGTGTTATTTTGACTCCATTTTTTGTTATTCTTACTTCATTATTTATTATAAAGATTAAAATAGCTTTACTTAATATTTTTCTTTTATTTCATTAAAATCTTAAAAGTAATATAAATTTTAGAACCGACTTTTTTATATATTTTTAAGAAAATCAAGAATATATAAGAAAAGGAGTAGATTATGCCTAAATATTTCGGATTTTATTTTTCAAAAAATACAAGTTAATTAAAAAAAATGTTTACAAACTTAGCATTAAGTTGATGGATAATTTAAATTTTATGAATAAATTACTCAATAAATCATGACCTCTAAAGTCTCTTAGATACCAAAGAAAATATATTATAAATCTTAAGTTATTAAGAATACTTTGGTATTGTTTCATGCTCTATTGAATCTACTAGGAACTACAAAGTATAGTTTTGTACGGTAATTATAGATACCAATTCCTATTTAACAAGCTTAATCATCCAAAATGTATTTGTTATATATATATATATTCAATTTTTTTCTTATTATTATTATTCTTGAAATAAACAATAAAAATAATATTTTTAGAAGCTAAAACTATAGAGTATCAAGACACATTCAATAGGATTGTATTATTATTAGTTATTTATTCAGACTAGATTACTCCCTATTTTTGTATCATTAGTTATGAAATATCTTAGTTTGACATAATCAAAATTTATTCAAATATTGCTTTCTAATTATTAAAATTCAAAATTAATTCAAATATTTTAAAAAAAAGAAACAGCAATTACATGATTGAAAGCTTCTAGAATTTTAATTACCATATTATATTTTTTTAAATAATTTTTTCATTTATAGATATTATTAACTATATTTCTAGATGCAAATGTAACGCTAACATTTATTTAAAAAAACAAAAACAATCAAATTATTATCCTTTGTGAAAAATATAATAAAGAGTATTTTAGTCTATCTAAGTAATAAAAATAGATTATGAAGTTGTGGGAATAACACCATTCTATTCGATAAAGCTATTTTAGTTTTTATAATAAATGATGGAAGAAGAATAAAAGTTGTGGGGTGGGAAGAACACACAATAAAAAAAGAAAAACAAACGCAGAATTTAATGGAGTGGCAACAATTGGATGAACAATGTATTCCGCTTGCATACCATCAATCGGTGCCTCATAATTTTCAGCCTCTTCAAATAAACAAAAGCACGTCTTCTAATCAAATTCCACGTTGAGGCATCCTTAACCCGAATTCCGAGCACACAAACAACTTTATGAGGCAATTTTCTCTCTTCATCAAGAAGACAACTTCATTTGTGAGCCTCCTTAACAAAAGCCACATCCCCACTTCCAGTACTCGGTGACAGCAAGTGCTTCTCTTGATCAGTATCATCAATTTCTGTTGACTCGTAGGGGGTGGGGGTTGCTAGAGAATCATTCCCATCTTCTTCTGAGGATTATTACCCAAGAAATGAAACAACAATGTCAAGAATGCAACCAGTACAGTCAAGTTTATCGTGGATTACATGTCAGATTGTAGAAAACGAAGAAAAGGTGGGTTATATTCAAGAAGCAAATTACTCACCTAAGCGCTCATTGTATTCAGGTAGCTGTTTAACAGTAGTTACTTGGAGGCTCTCAGGAAGCAGGCAACTACAGAGAGCACCTGAAATTTCGAACAATAGCCAAATTAGTTTTCTTTCTGAAAAAATGATGTTTCATTTGCCAGTAAAACTCAACAGGCGAGACTCCAGTAAAGCAAACAAGCAAAGCAACTTAATTTGAGAATATCTTTTGCACGAACGCCACTTAATATGCTTGACCAACTAGATAACTCAGAAGTAAACATTGAGCTAAATGTATATTTGCAGAGTATAACTATGAAGTCCACTGCAGCTGGCTCTCTGCCAGTCACGGTGGAAATTCAGGAAAGGAATGACAAAGAGTGGGTGGGGGGAAACATAAATTACAGCTGAATAATGGCTAAAATTAGGATAAAACCGAAGTTCGAACAAGAAAATAGAACTTAGGGTTCATAAGAAACCTCTGGAATCAGAATAGATAAATAAAATAATGAAAAACACGTAATATAACCTTAGCAACCTATTTATATTAGTTTAAGCCTTGCATCCTTAGGAAAAGGGTTCTCAATCTTGCTCCCCTAGTTAACCTCTAAGGAAATACGCTAAACAGTAGATCAATTAAATAACCTAGTATCAAAATTGTTAAGAAAGCTCCTGCGGCAAAGAAGAACTAAAAACTTGATGGAAGAATTCTCCATACCTAGCCGAGCAAGTCGATTCACCCATCCTGGTATACGCTTGCCTATCAATCTACACGAGATGTCATCTGTAAAATGGTTGCAATTCTTAGAGATGAGGTGATAGGTATCTCCATGATACTCAGAAGCAGCACTCTCTATGAATGTTCGGAATTCAGAGGGAGGCATAGTTATCCTGCCTAAAAGGATGGAACATCTGTAAATAAAACCAGGGCAGCTCCTTGGTTCCACTTCAAAAACTCCACTGACAGGGAAGTCATGGGCTCCAAATCCGTACTCCTTACCATGGACTGTTCATACACGTAGAGAAAGTCAATGCAGTTCATTAGATTTTTAAGGGAATGGCTATGGACATTGAGATTCTAATGTTAAATCCACGCCTTTTAAAACAGACTATAGATGCATTATGACTTGGCCAAAGCTAGTCTCACTCCCAAGAACATAACAGGTTTTCACAGGCTACGGGCACTCTCACCAAATCTGAGCCTCTACGGCTTTTAGAACATCGATACCATGAGCGACGAGCTCCGGGCCACAAAAATTTCATATTTCAGGCGGGCCATGAGAATCTTGTTATTAAAATATTGATAAAATCAAAGCACGTATAGATTATATTGGATGGGATTAACACAGTAAACTTCACCATTCAAAATCATCAAATCAAGAAACCAAATCACCAAAATAAAAGGGAGAGAAGACACGCACACACACCTTCAATGCCTGAATGAAAGATCCCAAAACCGAACCAATAGGTGTACTGGTTTAGAGGGGTGAGGTCGTAAACATTCAAAACCACCTGCGTCTCACTGTTTTTCGAATTATCATTATCAGAGCTCGAACTCGATATCTCCTCCGCCGCCCCCATTTTTAACCCAGATCCACAATTCAGCTGTACAAACGGCCACTTGATTAGCCTCTCACAGATCCATCTCTAGCACTGTTTTCTTCTTCTTCTTCTTCTTCTTCTTTTTGAAAACAACGAAAATGTTCATCTCTTTCTTTTGAAAATGTCATCATGATGACGAGATTTAAAAAACACCCTCAGAAACGACTCTGTATATATATATATATATATATATATATATATATAAAGATTTTTATTGGGTTAGAAAATAAAGGAGGACTTTTGGCTTGTTTCAATCAAGGTTCAAATTCCCTTTCCTTCGTCGTGACGACAATATCGTGAAAATCTCAATTTAAATGTAAAATATCGCAATATAATTTAAGAAGTAAAAGAAACATAAAGGAATTAGAATTTAAAAAAAAAAAAGAATAGAAAATCAATATATCACAATATAATCCAATAAGTTGTTGCCGCACGCCAGAGCCTTGAAGGCATCCATACACTTTGAACAACGTGTATAACGTTTTCTAGTAATATAAAATATATTTTTTTGTTGTGTTATTGGATACAATGTCACGTCTCGTTTCCTCTGGTGTGGTATGCATACTGAACAGTGGTGTGCTAATTTGTTGCCAATCAGCTTCTTTTTTTCTCCTTCTTTTGTCTTTTCTATCCTAAAAAATATAGGTTAGTCCTTTCTATTATGAATATTTCAATTTTAGTTCTAATTTATTTTATTTTTAATTTTTATCCTTGATTTTTTGTTAATTTTTTATTTATTTTTAATGTAATCCTTTAATTTTAATTTGTCATGTATAATTTTTTCTTACGTGGTCTTTTTTTTTCTTGATTTTTTATAAAAGTTTTAATAGTTTTCAAATATATCATTCAATTCAATTTCATGGTGCATTATTTTTTAAAATTTGATCTTTATTTTTTTGTTATTTTATTAAAAAAAAAATTAGTTTAACCTTCCAATCAAAATTTTGTTCTTGTCCTCTAATTTATTTTTTATTTAGTTTTTCATCTTATTCTTTTTAATGCTACCTTTTATTTTATGTAATTGAATTTTTTTTTAGATTTTATCTTTCGACATTTGATTTACTAGGAATTGGGCTTCACATTCTTTTTTATAGTGCTTATAGTTTAATGGCAAGTCACAAATTTAAAAAGTTAATGCAAGTCAATATTAATTTTTTTGTTTATTTTTTTCTATTTTATAATTTGACATTAGTTTTCTTGTTAAAAAAATTAGTTTTGTGGTTTTTTCAATGTATTTTCTATTGGGCTATTCTAATTTTATAACCTAGGCCATGGATTTTACGTGTTAACCTGAATTGACTCGTTTTTTTATTATCAAGTTACATGTCTATTATGCTACTTCAAGTTTACTCAAGCTATTTTTTTTTTAACTTTTTTATCCAATTATGAACTTTAAAAAAAAATTCCCAAGTTATGTTGCTTTTTTTAAAAAAATTGACCGCTTACTATTGTTACTAATTTTTTATTATTTAATTAAAATAAAACCAATTTATTAAATTAGGTTGGTGCTCTTACTCTATTATTATTATTATTTAACGAGGAGGGAGTTAATTTGAGATTAGTTTGGGTACTAACTTTTACCAGGAGATTCCATTGATCATTTAAGGGTATGATTTGGGGCTCTCTTTTTGGATGCTCAATCGCTCATCAAATTATTAAATAGATTATGATTAGAGAATCCTACAATGTAATAGCATTAATTATTGTACAAAAATTGGCTGCATTGATAGAAGTTTATTAGGGTTTGGGATTTTTTTTAATTTTTAAATTAACTACTTGCCTTATTATATGTAACATGCTTAAACTTCACGGAATTAGTTCATAATTGCCACGAAAATAATAGATTTTTTTATTGTATTATATGTGAAAAAATAATTGAAGTATTTTACCATAGAAGAAAGTGCGGTGAAATCCATCTAATTATTGGGGAAATATACCCTATAGAAAAGATTGAATTGTGTAACATAAAGATTTATTTTTTAAAAGTGTTATTTCCCTTCACTGCAAAACATTTGCTATATAGTTTAATAAGGTATTATTTATAGATTTTCTAGGATTTAGGTGAGGTTCAATAAACCTAATATAAGCTCATTAGTTAATAATTTGCAAGGATTGATAGACTAATTGGTGATATGTAATTATCAAGAATAACAAGGTGTAGACATGTTAATTCACTAAGTATTATAAAAAGATAATAATCATAAGTGACATGGATAAATCAGATTTTAGAATGATTAGACTTTAAACTAACCATCCAAGATTTAATTCTTAGCAGTAGACTCACTGTAACCCATGTAGATAAATCAATAGTAAATTATGCATAACAAGAGTACCAATACAGTTTATTTCAAATAGAATATTTTAGGGTAATAGTATCTTTTCTATAGCATAATGAATCTTCTAATTTAGAATTCTAAAAACCAATAAAAATTTTATAGTAATTATAATATTAGATTGTGATTTTTTTAATGCAAGAAAGGATTGAGTGCTAATTAAGTTTCTATCATCATACTAACACTCCCTAGCTATTAATAATTAATTATCAATGTTGATCCTTTGATTACCCAATGACGAAACGAGTAAAATGTTCTTTTTATGTTAAAGAAACAAAAAAAGAATATAGTAATAACAAAATAACAAAAAAGTTGCTAATAAATAATTGATTGGTTTTTTTATCTACTTTTGTTTACAGATTAAGATAAAAATCTTCCTTGTCAAAATAATTTGTTTTTAATATTGTTTCCTAAATAGTATATTTTGTACCAAGTAAGCTTCACATTAAAAAAGAAAAAAGAAAAAAGAAATATGTGATTTCTTTTAAATACAAGTTATATAACATAATTTTAATAAAAATTTAATTAAAAAAAAATATATTAATAAACCACTAACAACCCGCCACTCCCTCTTTGATTAGAATGTTGGAAAAACACATGTTTTTATGTTTTTTTGTATAAAAGTTTTACAAGAAAATATTTTTTAGATTTTCTTATGTTTGTTTATGGAGAATATTGTTTATAAAATTTGTTTTCCATAAAATATTTTATTGGAAAACTGGATAAGGTGAAATATTTTATAGTCAATCTTCAAATTTAGTTCATTAACTGAAAAACATTTTGAGCTTGTGAAATATTCTATGAATAGTAATTTAATTTAATATTATCTAATTATGTCAATCACCACCACCACTATTAAAAAATATTACATGTAAAATATATTTTATATGAAAATATATTTTAAACAAAACATTAAAAATATTGTAATGCAAAACATTTTACAAGTAAAATAATATTTTTCATGTATGAAATATGTTGGGCAAAACAAATGAGCCCTTGGTCTTACAAAGCTTAAACCTCAAGGAAAAGTAATAAAAACTCTTAAGATTGTAAAAACTTTAATCACATAACTGTCTTCTCTTGCTGTCTTTAATCTCATCTGCTTCTTTTTTTCCCTTCAGTTACAACTTTATCTTTTATCAAGACAAAATAATTCCGAATTTCTACCCATTTCTCGATTGTGTTGTCATGATATTTAGTTCAAACAATATTAATTTGAGGATACACATTAAATACACCAAAAAATGGTAAGAGGGAATAAATAAGTTCAGAAACGTAATAGCTAGCAAAAATTCTGACACTTCAAGTTTAGACAAGACCCTATCTATGGAAAGAGAGTAAAAGAGGAAGAAGGAAACAATTGGAGATTTGCTTAAATTATTTTGGTTAGAAGGGTGGATTGAAGGTTTTAGAGAGGGCAGGAGAGAGAGCATGAGAGTGATTGGTAGATTAAAAGAAAAAACATGCACTGAGGTTCAAATTACCCTACAAAACATTTTTCAGGCGTCCTCCTTTCTCGTCTACCCATGTTAATTAACATTTTACCTATACCCTTCCCGACAGATAGAAACATTACAGCTGGGCTGCTGTCAAGCAATTGGGCGAAACAACAGCCTTCCATAGTCAACAACCAGCAAATTTATTTCCAGCTTTCTAGTAATTGAAATGTAGAATATTTGACATAACCCAAACAACAACAAATGCCAAGGATATAAATTATTTAATTCTCTTTTCATCAAGTTACAATATGCTCACTCTTAGGATAAACAATCAAGCAACTTCTAAGAGAAACCATTTGATACTTCGTGGAACTTCATCCAATGCTTGCCAAAGAACCTTGGTTCCTTGTGTCCTGCCTGCAACACCACAAAAGTTCATATATTCAGCTTATATTATATAATTTCCAAAGAATGAATATATAAATCATTCAACAGAGTAGTCTGGAAGCTTGACTCACAGCCGTAGGATCTTCTAAAAGCAACCAAAAAGATACCACAGAGTTCCACAATCACAACTCGTCTGGCGTTGTCCTTCGCCTGATCCGCTCACTGCGCCTCCAAGGGCCTGACCCGCCATCTGAAGAATCATTGTCATCCTCTCTGGAAGAAGATCCAGTTTCACCTTCATGATTCTCCCCCCAATGCCGGGTGGCTCTCCTTCTGAAACCTAGTTGTGCTCTGGCTCTCGGTGTACCAGACCAGCTACTACTCCTTGGACTAGATCCAGGTCTAAAAACTCTTATAAGAAAGAATACAGTAAGCCAACCACCATCATCTATCGGCAAAACATCATCACCCCTCTCTTCTCCAAACGAAGATTGGAGGGTGCTAAGCAAGTCGCCAAGGTCCCTCTGACGCTCCAGCCTCCTCCAATTACGTTGCCGCTCTGGATCAGCCTCTGATGGTCGAACAAGTGGGTGTTCAAGCCTCGCATGCTTCCTGAGATCCGAATACGTGCCAGTAAAATTGCATGTCTCACAGGCACAGCTTCTTGGTTTCGCATTCATGAAACTTCGCGCAGGTTCAGTGACAACCCACTCTTTTATCTGCCCCCGACAGAGTGGGCATACTAGCTTTGGCTGCACCTTGTTCTCACAAGAAATGGTTTCAGTGGTTAAGGATCCTTCCTCAGATTGATCTTCTGGTGGAACTATAAGTGTTGATACTGAGCTGACAACTGCATGAGAATTCATGGTTCTAAGCCTACTTTCTTGAGGTTGTGGAGTTGTTGGTGTTGTTTCTGCAAATGACTTCCGAAACTGATCAAGACAATTAGAATGACGATAGCTTGTGTCACACATGTAAGGACGGCAACCTTTCTCATGTGAAGAACAAATAAGGAGAACAGCATTATGCGGATGTTCCATGCATACAGGGCACCTGGCCTCTTCCCATTCCTTCAAATTCTCCTCAGTATCTGAAGGGATTTTAGGTGAAGATCGTCTTGAACAACTGGAGCTGCATGTATAAGGAGATGCCCTGTACCTATCAAAAGATATGGAACGATCTCTTCTATCCTTTGGCATGTTGATACTTCAAAAATATCAAGAGAAGACTAAAGAAACCAGTGCTCCTAACACCACAGCAGCAAAATGAACGACGTTCTAAGAAAGTACAAAAAGATCATTTATAAGAAAACCCAATAAGTGAAATAAAGGCTAGCATTTCTAAGAAAGAATAATAATAACTGGATAGAAATCCCAACAGACTTTTAGAGTTTAACACCCCCCCTGAAAATGCATGAACACAAACCCCAAACAAAAGAAAGGAAAAAAAGATCAAGAAGCCACAGCAAACAGGAAAAATATCCTTTTTCAAGGCAGACTTGCAAATTTATACACAAACAAGAAATTGTTCCAACCCACAGCAGTTTAAAGGAGAATTACATAAACATAAGATATACTTTACAAGAGAAAAAATGGACCACCATCAACCATTCTCTATGAGAAAACAGATACTCTTTATATTCCCCTTGATGAAAATTTCAGACTTATAGATAGATTCAATGCAGATTTTACGCATAAACTGAAACAGCTATGGAAAAATAAAAATGATAAACATATCTCATTTGAGACAACCTATGTTCATAGACATCAGCTGTGCTTGCCGAAGCTTATATGCTCCACAACATCTTGAAAAAAAAAAAATGTATCAATAAAGAAATCAACATAAAGCACAACCATGTTTTATTTACTTGTTAGAGTGGTGGTTGGGGGGTGGGGGGGTGTGGATGATACAAACCATTCAATACTATTAAAGTGCAAGTACGTTTTGGAGGTCACAGACTTCAAGGCATCAATTATGTAATAAGATATGCACTGGCACTTCACCTTGACAGTATACCCAGCCAAATCCATATTGCTTTTTACATCAGTATTGTTCTTATGAACTATCACTTGTAATGAGTTTATAAAGTCCAGTCCCTGAATTATGGACAGCCACCAAAAGAAGGCATTCTCCGATCATACAACTATCAGCAGTGGCATAATATTGAAGAAAAAGAAGAAGAAGCAGAGAAAGAATGAGAGTTACAAATGCAAGTTGACGGCATCCAACACCATGACAGTGCAATTATGTTTTAGAGCAACAGCCATCACCTTCATGGTATCAATTGTGCACCAAGATTCCCCCACAATGGTACGTTCACAGTCCATACTGCTCTCTGACACGAACAAGATCATTCAAACTAGTATTCAAAATGAGTTTATGGAGTCCAAGTCCTGAATTAGCTATTGTCAGAAACATAGGAATTGAATAGGAGGAGCATGCAAGGCCCATCTTTACAAATCTCTGAACTCAACTTTTTGTAAGTTGCAGGAGCCCTCTTAGCCTTCAACTTTACCCAAGGCCACAAAGGATGCAGCAAACTTGACCTTACACAAGTCACAACACAATGTCACTCTTGGTTTTTACCATATTCATTGTTACTCCTAGGCCACAGAAGAGAGTTTGCATTGAAGACACAATTGTTCCCCACAAAAGTGATTACAACCTAGCTCCCTCAATGTTCTCTGTATCCAGGAGTCAAAACATACAGAACATCTTCGAATCACTTAAGTATGGCCAGTACATATTAATGTTTTCAAGATGATCGATCATACATACAATACCTAAAAGAGTCGGCTTTATAAACTTTCCAACAGCCAAATTATCCTCCCAAACACAAATGGTTTCAAAAAAAAAAAGAAAAATGCATACACAACCCTGCACCTCACTTTGGTTAGGCGCTTCTAAGAAACTTCAGTTCTAATTGAAAAACAATCACTAAGAAAATATAGTAGCTTTTACCATATTTCCCACAAAACAACAACAACAACAATAATAATAAGCTCTCAACATAACTAGGACACTCAAATTGCCAAAAATCAATTGGCAAGATGTGAAATTTCTAAACAAAGTTCTTTCTTTCTTTCTTTTTTATTCCGCCAAGAGATCAAGCTAAATGAATATGCACAGAAATCGCAGATAAGAAATCAAACCCTTTTCATTTCTTTTTAATTTAGTTTCTATTTCCACAATTTTAACCTCAAACAGAGACACAATTAGAACACAAACAAATAAAACCTAAACCCTTCAAAAAAACCCGGAAATTACAAGAAAAATGAATGAATGATAGAAGAATCTGATCCCTACCTATAAGAATTAACACATAAATAATAGAGATTTAAATAGGAGAAATCATCCAAAAACAGCAGAAAAGTTTATAAGAGATATTACCACAACTCCTTTGAGAATTCGATTCCACTTTAATAGATCGTGAATGAAAAGAGATCGATTTTGAAGGAGGCTGCTTTTTCTTGGGCTGTTCTAGGGCTCCTTTCAGTTCAAGACAGATGAAGAAGGAGAGAGAAGGTGAAAATGAGCTATTAAACAGAAGAAAAAAAAATAAAAAAAACAAAAGAGAGAAAGAAGGACAAGTCTCTCTCTCTCTCTCTCTCTCTCTCTCTCTATATATATATATATATATAGACACAGCCACATAGAAAAAAGAAAAATAAATTGGAAATTCCAACGACGATTTAAGTCGCTACGGTTGGTGTCCTTGCGATACTGATAGGGTCGCAGCCTCGTAGCGTATTATATTATAATCGGCTAAATTTTAATTTGCCCCTTGAAGTTTGGGGTAGTCCAATTTAGCCCACGGAGGATTCCAATGAATCGATGTTATCCTTGAAGTTTCAATCACAAATCAATTTACCCCTTCAGTTTAGAAATCTAACCAGATCTGAAGTTCCAAAACCCTTTTTCTCTCCTACAATTCTAAATCTCGACCAAATAGGTTCTCTTGGTATAAGTTAAAAGAAAATGTTTATGGTATCCATAAAATAATTAGTGATATCTTATTAATTACTTTTTAGATCTATTTTTTTAAAATTTCAATGTTGATGTGTTTTTTGAAAAAAAAAACTATGAAAAACAAAATAAAGAAAAAAATAGACAAAAGGTAAAAGTGTAAGATAAGAGGAATGAATAACTAACAAAAATATACAATAGAAATATTTTTATGATATGCTTAAGATAAGCAATCTAGAGTAAAAATATTCTTGAATCAAATTATAAATAGAAAAAAAATAATGTTTAAAGAGAGAAGCCACCATATACAGAAAAACCTAACCTTATCTTCCATAAAAAAAAATCCATAACCTTCTTTCTTCCACCAAAAAACATCTTAGGCACTAGGAAATAAAGAGAAAAGAAAATAAAACAAGAGGATATAAAACCTAGCCAACCTAACCTTATCTTCCATAAAAAAAAAAATCCATAACCTCCTCTCTTCCATCAAAAAAAAATCCTAGGCACTAGGAGATAAAGAGAAAAGAAAATAGAACAAGAGGATATAAAATCTAGTCACTTACATCAAAAACCAACCCAACAAAAAACATAACCTTATCTCTTCTATTTACTACAAAACCCTAGCAACTATTGAAGAGTCAAAAAATAAGAAGAGAGAAAAGAGAGCATGTAGAAAATTTAGAAGAAAAAAAATACATAAAGAAATAAATTATAAAAGAACAAAGATAGAAGAGATATGATCTCTTATTTCTCTTCCCTACCAACACTAGATTTTGGCCAACCACCACTATTTTGACTACCACGATCTACTTCTTTACATATGTAAAAGCACATTGACATATGAAAACCACAAATCAAATAGAAATTGAGAGAAAGAAGTACAAGGCAAAAAAACAACATGACATCTAAATTTTCAAGTCACTAGATCTCCTCCTACCGATGATGGTGACCTTCATCGTCACTATCAAGAGGAAGACCAAAGGGTGGTGCAATACATAAGGTGGTCTATGTGTTGCCCCTCCCTACCAATAAGCACCAAGACACGTTTGAAACAAGATTGTTAAGAAAAGATAGCATTAAAGGTATAAATGGTCAAAATTTAAACAACTAGATCTTCCTCCACTTATTAATGGTGACTTATAACTCCACCACCATAAAAAAAAAATGGTGTTTTGTATGGACTAGGCCACAAGCCTCTTCTCCCTATAGTTTGCCTAAAATATATGATACAATTCAAGCAACCACTATTAAATTTTTCAGCACTATTCTAGTCATTGTGCCAGTCTTTTTAGCCCCAAACTCTTACCACTCTAAAATGTCCATTTCAAACACTAAATATTTTTTGAATAATTATTTGGATTTATGGTTGATTTGGATGAATATTACGATGACCTTTTTTGGTTTGAATAATATTGATATCAATTGTCTATATTTGTGGACACTTGAGTTTTTTTGTGTTTAATTCTTTTGTCATGATATGTTTTATAAATGAATGTGCATCGCAAATGTATTCAATATGTTTTCAAATATTTTATTCTTTATGCATTAGGCTGATTCCTTCAAAGTAGTTTGCATCTTCCTCATGTTTGATTTTTTGGTCATTTCTTTGTTTTATTTATGCATGAGTTTGCTTTTATATTAAAAGATAATGTTCACACTCTTTTATAAATTTACATTGAGTTTTATAACTCATCTATAAAACTCATTAAGGGTTAAGCTCATAATAAAATGGTCTTTATGGTCTGACATTTTGAAACCTCTTTAAAAATCTTTTTTTTAAAACTATATTAAAAAAATGATTTGTTATTTACTCATAGTGTTTGAGATAAATAGACTCATAACGAATTATTATCTTAAATGTTAATAAGGAGTAACACCTTAGTTTCTTTTGTTTTTAAAACATGTTTTCCTTTCAGATTTTCTAACATTTAAGTCTAATATCCATCAATAACTTTTAAGTGTCAATTGAAGGTATTAATTTTTCTTAGCAAGTCCAAAGTATTATCACTAAATCCTACCTTCAAGTAGATCAACCCATAATACTTGTTGCTTGGATATTTGGGTTTGATGTATAAACATCCTATTCAATAAAAAATTACACTTAAACCTCTCATTATTTGGGTTAGGTTTAATGAACCTAATAAAGGCCTGTTTAATTATTTATTTATAGGGCTTGATAAACTATTGATAGTTACAGATTATGATTGTAAATGGTTGTAAACATATCAATTAACCAAACAATTAGGAGTGAAAAAGATGACTTAGACTTGAGAATGAATATGCTTTAACCCACTCGTTCATCTAAAGTACTCTTTCACCTAGAATTTAATTCATCACAACAGACCTATTATGTTCAATGTAGATAAAGTACTAATATTAGACACAACAGACCATTAGAAATAGAAAATAAGAAGCGATGCAACTTACCCTAAATAAGATGTTTTAAAGTGATATTATTTTCTATTTAGCTTAACTAGTCTTTTACCTTAAAACTCTAAAAACTAGCTGAGGTTTTCTAGTGAATATAATATCATGTAGTGGTTCCTTTTCAACAAAAGATCTTCCCCCGTCTAAACCATAAAAACTTTTTTTTCCCTTCTAAGAAATAAGGTGTGATTGTCAAGATGTCGGGTGTGAAAGATGCAAAAAAATATATATTTATACACACTCAATTTTATATTTAATACCTAAGGCCCCGTTTATTTGCTGGAAAGCAGTTTTCTTTTGGAAAATGAATACCTAAGATGTAAAAAATAGATATTTATACACAATCAATTTTATATTTAATACGTAAGGCCCCGTTTGTTTGCTGAAAATAGTTTTCTTTTGAAAAATAAATTTAAGAAAAGTGAATTATTTTCAAATATTTGGTAGTGTAATGAAAAATAAGTTGGAGAACATTTTTCAGTATTTGGTTATGTCATAGAAAATGAGTTGGAAAATAACTTATTAATGTTTTATTTTTTTCAAGTTTATTAAAATAATAAAAAACAAATCTTACAAATTAAAAAGTTGAATAAGAATGAAATTGAAAAAAAATATAATTTTTTAAATTATCTCAAATAAAATAAATAAATATCAAAATAATAGAGATCAAATCTAAGAAATAAAAAAAATAGAAACATGAAGAAATTAAAATAATAATAATTATCATTTTATAAATTATTTCAAATAAAATAAGTAATAATCAAAAGAATAAAAATCAAATTTGATAGATAAAAAATATCAATAAAAAAATGATAAAGGAAAATAAAATAACAATTATAAAAATAAGGACTAAAGTTAATATAAAAATAAATTTAAGTGATGAAATTGAAAAAAAAATTCAAAACAATATATATAGCAATCAAAAGTTTGAGGATTAAATTTGATATAATCAGCAAATAATATGATATTTTAAAATTTTTCACAACTTCCAGAAAGTGTTTTCCACTCAAAATAAAAGGAAACACTTTCCCGAAAACCAAACTAAAATTTTATTTTACTGGAAAGTATTTTTTATTGACCGAAAAGTATGGTTTGTTGATCAACTTTTCTAATTACAAACAAACATAGAAAAGTTTGGAAAATAATTTTTCAGAAACCACTTTTTGAGAAACAAACACACTTTAAGAATGCAATTACACATAAGTTTTTATATTATAAATGAAATGCATTATTTTGGCAAAATTAACACACATAAGCATAGATGCGGCTTCTTAGGTGACATATCTGATAAGAAAGTTAAAGATTATTTAATCTTTAAAGAATCTAATATTTACGAAGAAAAGTATCCAAATCTTATATGAAACTTTCTGAAAATAATAGTGGGAACAAATTATAGATCAACATCGATCATTATCGATCAATTAACTAATAATGCATGTTTGTAAACATTTCTCTTGGATTTTATTATTTTAGAGTCATTGCCTTCTCCTTTTGTCTTGTTTTTTTTTATTATTATTATTAAGAAGTGTAATAATAACATCCATTTATTAGAGTTTTGTTGACTTGTTAGGTAATTTTTATGATTAATTATTTTAATTGTTCTTCATTTGTTTTCTTTAAACAAGGAGAAACTATAGTCGGGAAATGAATCCTAAGTCAAATTTAATAGTAGCCTTACAAATCAAATCAAATATAAAGAACTTTACTTAATTTTAGCAAATTTAAAAGATAATGTGATTAAACTATATTAGCAAAAAAAAAATAAAGGAAATAAACTTGTAGAGGCTATAAATAAAAGTAATGGAAGATAAATTATATCAAGAAAATTATACACGGTTGGCTATTATTTGTAGTAAAGCTTTTTGATTAATGCCCAATACATTGATCTCTTCCATAAAATTTCCAAATCTCCTTTAATAAAAACCATGTATTTTTAGAAAATAAATTAACAAAGAATCTTGAACTCTCCTTTCTTGATCCCAATAATAACACATTTAATTTTTTCTCCGATATGACTCAATGTTGCTATTATAGACTTTGTTAGTTAGTTGAATACAATGCATCAACATTTTGGTAAGGAATTGAAATGCTAAAAAGTTTTTTACGTGACTCAACTACCTATTATCCTCAAGGAACTATTGATTGTCATTTCTTTGTTCTATGTTCATATGTAACGACTTGACATTTTGTTATTTTTTCTTCAACAAAGAGACAAAGAAG